AGGATTCGGTTTACCCTATAAGCCGCAGTTCAATCGGGCGCGAGATCTTTAAGGTAGCACTATATAAGTTCATTGTGTGAATAGTGAACATCGGAGGGCAGAGGTCGCCATTGTGATTTTCAAAACAGGCCCTAGAGGGCATTGCCGCTTCCATACGCCGATTAGTCATCTGTCCAAACCACACTGTAATAGCCGCTGAATATGGAAATGTTCACAGCCAAGCTTGACCATTCTTGTGGACCTTCTCAACCATTATGGAATGAAACAAGAACGCTATACCCCCTCCCCTCTATTTCTTACTTCAAGAATTTGAGTCCTTCAGTCAGACAAAGGCAAAATCCGAGTCAAAATACCAAAGTTCTTTGAAGAAATTTGACACTTTCTTATGCTTCTCCCAACAGAATTAAATTTACCTTCTTAGCGGCTTCCACAAATGCATTGATATTCTCCATGCAGGCAAAGTTTGAGATGGGTTTTTGGATTTTCTTCACGATTCCCGGCTCAATACCATTGGCCATTCTGAAAATGTCATACCTCTCTTCAACTGTTTACTTTATTGCTTATTTGTTATTTATTGATGTCGTAATGCTTGTATATTTTCGATACACGAATGTACATTGGCCTTATAGCTCTCTTCCCAACATCAATTTCTGTGGTAGAATTTTGCAGGAGCAATAAAGACGATATAAACCTCTATCTAAGGGCTAGTGCGAATATTGAGTTCGCATGATTTTCCACCAATTTTCACCAGTTTCCAACCAATTTTTATTTGCATGAAATGAAAGAGCAATATGCTACCAATCAAATCCCCATTTCTCAGCCGAAAAGGAAAGCATGGCGCACCCCTTTTGTCTGAACACGTTACCAACGTATATTTTTGCTCGAAATGGAGCTCAAAATAATTGTTCAAATCTGAAAACTCTTGAACACCTCCATTCCCGCAGGGCGATCATTTCTTATTTAGAAATTCATTCTAGATTTCGAAAATATTTGAAAAGTGGTTTTCGAAAATCACAAACGTTTTTCATATGAGTGCTTCCCTTCGAATAGCCTCACACAAGCGACGCCGGGCAACAGCCGTGCTTGCTTACAAAATAACCCAACGGTTTCCGACAGTTGTCCTACCACTTTGTCATTCAGTGACCTCGCAGAAGCCATACCACTTTAAAGCGCGGGCACAACCTCGTCCTTAGCCGCATAACTGCAGCGAGTAACCTTTGGCCTGTTCACAAAGGACACACGCCATTTTTTTAACGACACGATGATTGAATTGAGTTAAATAATATAATGATGCAAGCTGTTGATGGCAGCCATGAAGAGCGGCTAAAGTAGGTGAGCAGCCGTAAAACTAGGATGCACCGTTTTCAGGACTGAGGCAGCGCGTTTGTGGAGAATAAGCATTGAATTCAGCACACATGACTGAAAACTATTTTTCACCGTATGCGCTGAGATGCGCATGCGGAAAGGATTATTTTCTCTGTCTTAAGCTTAAATCTCAGCTTATTTCCTTCACGCTTTGTAGCAGGTCTTAGGAGGACCGTCCTTTTCTTACTCTGGCATTGCTGATCTGGATAGTTTTCCAATCTCGATTCATTCAAGAAAATACGGTAGACTTAAAGGACGAATTCACGATCAGAGGGAAAATCGAATTAGGAAGAATTCACCTGGTTGAGGGACCCGCGGAGCTCCTAAGTGTGCGAACTGAAGCACAATTTGCACAGGAGGAGTTGACCTCGTTGACCTATTAAGGTTTAATCCCGCCGCGGCTGGTCAGTGCACGCCCACCGATCATCTGATCACTCGCCGCAGGTCTATACGTGGTGAGTGATTAGATAGGTGAGAGAGCGTAGCGTTGAAGAGGGCACAGCGATGATAGTCGCATCAATGCTCAAATCAACGGGCAAGGAAGGGTCCCATTTCTCGGGTTCTGGGCCGTTTCTCATGGTTATTTCCTTCTTTGGTGTACCACTCACCATCGCTAAGGTAATTTGAAATGGGTTGCCTTTCCAGCGTGAATTCGTCCTTTAAAACAATCGATCTCGTCGTAGGTGAGTGGGATTCGCAGAGAACTTTGCTTGTCAGAGGTCAGCAGTGCCAACCAACGCGCGTAGGCGCCATCCATATTACAACTAGACGAAGCTGACGGCAGCAACAGCAGATGCGCTCCGACTTTTTCAACATGTCTGCCAACAGCTCTCTTCATCCGTGAAAAGTTTGCAAGCAAGCAACCATATTGTTCTTATTAAAGAACCGCCAAGGCACCTTCCGCCTGGCCTGAAGAACACTAGAGCAATTGCTAGGCTGAGAACCCAGGAACACTACTATCAAGACCTCAAATAGCCCTTGTAGCAAAGAATCATTTTCAGCAACTTCCAAACTGACCCAGAAAAACACAAGGAGCAGTCTGCAGCCTCACAGGCCTGCCGCAGAAGGCCTGATTGGAGTGGCGACGTCGTCCACCGCTTAGGCGGCCAATCCAGAACGAAATTCAAGCTCAAAGATCAAAGAACACAGGCTTTTTCTCAGCTTAAACAGCAGCTTTTCACCCATTAAAACACACTATTGGCGAACGAACACCTGCTCCGGAAGGTTTTTGCAGCGTAGTGAACTCTAGGCTTTACTCGACCTATGACCCCAATAAAATAAATTTAATCACTTCCAAAACGACCACCTACAGGCGAATCAGGCCGACTGCCTATCCAAGCTATTCTCACTACTCTCAACGTTGGATAGCTATGTGCATCGTTTTTCAGTAACGGTTGATGGATAAAACATTCAGCGTCAAGGAACGCCTCAAAGAAGCGCCACGCTCCCGACTCCCACTCCAAATCCTAGAGGCACTTTGAATGTAATTTGGCCTACACCGTTGATTCGTGGGAGTCGACCGATCTAGACATTAGCATTTTTATCCTCATAGGTAAGCTTGCTACCAATTAACCCTCAGAGGGATGGAAGGTTATGTATGGAATGAACAAAGGGAAAAGATCCACGATCTGATCCAAGGACTGCGAGCGTACTAGGCGGCGTCACGTAGAACTGCACCACTCCCAACCCACTCATTCTCTCATTCTGAGTAAAGCTAATCGGTGAAACTCCAGTTCGGGGGGGGGGGACTCCATTTTTTGTTTCTCCAATACTCAAGATAAGGATGAGAGCGCTCATGACACGTAATCGACTCATTTAAAGTATACTTCTGATAAGTATCGGTGTAATGTGGAAGAAACCCTGAAGATGTTTTCACATTTCCGCCTGCCATGGTCCAAGGGAACGGTCCTGGACCAGGAGAAAGGACACCTCCGCAAAGGGCTAAGGGTGCAGGAGCTCCAGGGTGGATCACCTGTGCAGAAAAGTGGATGGGATGTGGGCAGGTAGTGTGGAATGTAGGACATCCACCGGTCCTTATCAAAAGTACGCTCGAAATGAGTCGTTCACTTATTATCTTATCCGTAGTGTTCGATAGCCCAAAGAACTGCTCTCTAGTACTACGGATAAGATAGCAATGGAGTGCCCCCCCCGAACTGGAGTTTCACCGAACTAATCTAAACCACACGATTCTCTGTGTAACTCAAAATAAGAGGAAATAGCCCATCTGCCAATTCTCCGTCCAGTCGAACGGATAATATACTGAACAATAAATGATAATTTCTCTATTGGCCACAAAGCTCAAGGCATGCACTTCTTGAACTATTCATTTCACGACTTCACCTTAGCTCACCCATCACATCCTCTTAACCCTTGGGCGGTCCTGCGGTGAAAGAATCAAGATCAAGGTAAACATG